GGGGTGGGGGAGGGGGTGATGGGCCGGAGTGGGAGCCATGTGCACATTGAGAGTGGAAGACTTGGCCCTGTGAGCTGGCTGCACGAGTGCTGGCAAGTCAGAACATCCCGGAACGTTGGTCTCGTCCTCTGCAAAGGGAGATGATGTCTCCTCTTAGGTGGTGTCTGGGGAATTGAATTAGCTCGTGTCTCTGGAAGTGCGTGGTAAACCCTGTGGAGGATGTACGGCTGCGGGAAGGCCACGCGGCCAACCAGACCAGAGGGATGGAATACAACTGCCGATTTAGCGCAGTTCTACAAGCTGGCAATTTAGACCTGGTTCAGCTGGGCTCCCACATGTGTTGTGTGGCAGCTGTGTGTCATCGGACGGCTATGATTTTAGGGGTGACATTGGACGCCTATCAGCTGGGGTGACAGGGCCACCTGTCTCTCGTCTTCCAGAAGGCTAGCCCGTGCTTGTTCATGTGGACCTGGAAAGGGGTCCAGAAGATAGGGTGCCTGGTGGCTTGGTCAGTTAAGCGTCCGGCTTCGGCTCAGGTCATGGTCTCATGGTTTGAGGGTTCGAGCCCCGCGTCGGGCTCTGTGCTGACGGCTTAGAGCCTGGAGCCTGCTTCGGATGCTGTGTCTCCCTCTTCTCTCTGCCCTTCCCGGCTCTCACTCCGTGTTTCTCTCTCTCAGAAAAATAATAAACATTTGAAAAAAAATTAGGGTCCAGGAGAGACAGCAGAAGCCTGCAAGGCCTCTTGAGTCCAGGCTTAGAACCGGACCGGGGCTACTTCTACCACATTCTCTTGGCCAAAGCAAGTCACAAGGCCAGCCCAGGTTCAAGGTATAGAGAGATACACTCTATCTTTCAAAGGAATGAGCTGCAAAGTCCCATCGCTAAGAGTGTGGATACAGGGAGGTGTGAAGGACGGAGGACGTTTTTGTAATTTGTGCCCTAGAGACCTGATCGTCAATGAGGCCTCAGCTCTGTCCCTCTGCCCCCAACAGGCGACTCTGTCAGACCCTAGCCTTTGGCAGCAGCACTAGGGAGTGGGGGGCAGAGCAGGTCTGGGCGGGGCTGCTTATCTGGAGTGTCTCTGGGGAGGATGGTGGAATTCGGCCAAACCACATTCTGAGATGCTCAGGAAATGGGAAGGCTCTGGGCACGCCCTGGGCATCCTGAGCTCCATAGCTGTCAGTGTCACCACTAATCACTTCAACCCTTCACACCCAGTGGGCCAGAGGCACATTTACAGGACACATATAACTACCTGAGGGGGGAACAGGTAGGGGTATCAGTTATTGTGGTGACAGGGAAGGACCCCATTTTGACAACCCCTCGCTAATTGCACCAGGCTTCAGGGAAAGTCCTCATCCTGGTCATCTCTCCAATTAGAGACGTGTTTGGCTACAAGTGACAGAAACTTAATTCTAGAGTCGTAAATAAATCAGAATGCATTTTATCCACATAACAAAAATCCTGGAGAGAATCACGAATGTTGATTTTGCACTCCATGTCGTCAGAGCTGATGCCTCTTGACCTTTCCCCCATGGTGCCTAGGTGGCTGCTATAGCTCCAGCCATCATGTCAGAATTCAAGGCAGGAAATGACAAGAAGACAGAGCTATGCGAGCCATTTCTGCCCCTTCCTCAGGAAAGCAAAGTTTTTCCAGAACGACTCTCCAGACTTCTGCATATGTCTGTGGCCAGAAACGGTTCCTAGGGCATCCTAGCTGCAAGGGAGGTTGGGAAAAAAAATGACAGAATTGTCAGGATTGACCTATTTATTATGTGGGAGCCACATATATCACTGCCTCCAACAAAAGCAGGGCTTGTTAGTGAGGGAAGGGTAGAGAATAGGTCCGGGGTGGGAAACCGAGAGCATATGCCCGGCCAGTACTCTTCGTCCTGACCTAGGCCGGTGAACACACCGATCTCACCCCTACTCTCCCCTCCCACTCCCCTACGGTACTAGAGTTTCCTGGGGAGGCAGTCGGTGAGACCTGTGACGTTGTAAGACTCTGAGTTTTGGAGGCAACATCTGGCTTCCTTTTGGCCCCCACTATGATTGGCATTTGCCTCCAAGGAGCACCAGACCCTAGAAGATTTGCCTCCACTGATCAGACTGTCACCTCTAGACAGTGAACCCGCAGGACTGAGCACAAAGCTAAGGGCCAAGCCAGAGGTGACCAGAGGATGGCCCTTCTCTGCTCCTGGGCAGATTTCACTAGATGGTCACTCAAGGCAGTAGGGTTAAGCCCTCCTGCACCAGCCAGAGCCATGAGCAGCATCAGACCAACCATCCCAAAGGTTCCAGGAAAGGTTCACCATGGTTTTATGGGCGGATGTCACCCTGCACATATCCGTCCAGAGGTGCCCAGCAGACCCACACACCATCCTCTTGTTCCCACCTGCAGTCATCTGCCTGGCTCAAGCCAGCCCTCGCTGGCACAAGGCGTCCTTCATTCAACACCAAATACGTGCCGGGCCCATGCTTGAAGCTAGGAAGTCAGACCTGAGTTGGGCGCAGTCCTGCCCTCAACGAGCCTACGATCTAGCGGGGGAAATGGACCTGTAACAGAGAGGTACCACTCTGTGATGTGATAAAGTGCCGGGAACTCGCAGCCAGGAACCAGGGAAGGTTTTCTGGGCATCGTTTGCGTTCGTGACTTACATAGCGAGGCTCCCTTAGCAGGGGGCCTGGCATTCAGCTGCCAAGAGAAATCGTGTATCCGAGCCCTCTTATTTCTTTGTTTCTCCCTGGGCCCCCCCCCCCCCCAGTTTCCTGAGAGCTGTACATTCCTGTCCCACCCAGCTCTCAGCCCCGTATCACCAGCTGTGCAGCTACGGGTATCCGGGCCAGCCCAGGTCTGTCACACAATGGCGTGCCACCCAGCCAGGGGAAATCGTTGTACAGCCTCAGCCCTCTGGCCAGCTCCGGGCCGTGGGCTGGGGGGCCAGGCTCGGGGGGGGGGGGTCAAAGTGGCTGTCAGGGAGGCCTCTGCAAGAGGATGGGCCGGGCCCAGGGAGGAAGGACGGAAGGCAACTGGGAGGTCAGGAGCTGAGGCCCAGCCACAGAGGGACCTTGGCAGGAGGATGGAGAGAGGAAGGGCCTGAGGGGGGCCTCCCTGCCACACCAATCACAGCCAGCAGGTTAGACAGTCCCAGATAACAAGCTCTGGCTTCTCCAGCCGGTAGGGACCTGCAGAAGTCACCTGTCCAGGCAGAAGGACGGAAGTCTCCCAACACCCACTTGCGGGTACAAGAGTTGCCAGCAATAGCCCCGTGAAAGTCTGTGAGCTGGGACATTGCTCTTGGCAGTTGACCTCATGTCTTCAGGGCCAAGAGCTCTTCTGTTTGTTACATTTGGACCCTGTTGTTGGTAGCGAAGCCTGCTTCCCCTGGCTCATGAAAGCCCAGCCTGGCCCCTTCCCCGTGCTGTGCACCCAGCAAGCCAGCCGCCTCCGGCCCAGGCTGATTAAATTCAGATCCTTCCCTCACCCTGCTTCTTGAGGGATGTTCCCCAGCGGTCACATGGCGCGCCTACAACCTGCTCAGTTCCTCCAAGAGACCCTGGGGCTCTGCGGTTAGTGGAGAGTCGCTCCCTTGCCCTCCCTCGCTCTCAGCAAGCTGCGAGGCACGGGCCCCCATGCCTACAGGAGTCCTGTGGATTCAGGGTTGCCGTGCAGAAAAAGGAGTGGCAAGAACGATGCAGAAGGGGTGGAGCCTTGGGCTTGTGGGCACAGGTTCATCCCTCAGGGCCTTGGTGTGTCCTGTAAAGTCCAGGTCCTGGCCTGTGATGCCATTCAGTTCAGAGAAGAGGAAGGAGCACTGGCCGGAGAAGCTTTCGCCCCAGTTGCACATTCACTTGTGACAAGACCCGTCTCTTGGAGGCCTCGCTTTTCCTGTGCATTAAATGGAGACTGTAAAGCCTCCCAGGGTTTTCTGGCGGGGGAGGGGGATTCAAAAAAGTCACAGCACGGGTGTTAAGTGGTTCGGCCGACGCAGTGCTGGAACGCAAAAGGCAGAGGGATGGCACGCAGCCCACGTCTCCATCCTGTGCCCGAGGCACATGGCTAGCTGATGGTCAGCGTTTTCTCATTAAGCCCTCTCGATACTTCAGAATCCCTCTCAACGTACACTTGGAAGTCATGCCAACAGATCAGAATTATGAAACAGAAGGAAACCTCTGCCCCCCCGGCCCGCGCAAGCTCGGGGCATCACGTCGCTGTTCAGACGATCCCATCGAGCCCAGGCAGAGCCGCTAGGAACTAGACCCGGCAGAAAGCTGGAGGGGCCCCTGTGAGGGGCCCAAAGAATAGGATGCTGGCATCCTGGCTCAGCCCATCGCCCTGCGGCTACGCTTCAGCTGTCAGCTCCGCAACCGGGCCCGAAGGACAGGCCGTTACTGGACCCACGCCCTTTTGGAACTCACGGAATCGTGAGGGAGACACAGCATCCATGCAGGAAAGACAGGCCAACAGTGCCGAGCAGGGCGCAGTGAATGCCCAGTGAAAGGGCGAGGTGGCCAGGGCTCCCAGGGGGTTGGGACACGACGCGAAGCTGGGCTCTGAGTGCCCGCTGCTTCGGAGGCCTTTGCGCCCGGCATCCTGGCTGGCAACCCCTCTCCCTTTCCGCCCATTGCTGTGTCCCCAGAGTTGCCCGAGCAATCATCCCAGCCCCCAACACAGTGAGACCAGCCTTGGAGTGCTTCAGCTGACACCCAGGAGGGGCCCCTCCAGGAGGCAGTGCCCAGGCTGGGGAGGGGCAGGCCAACCCGACCTCTGCAGGCCCCGGCCCGGCTCCGCGCTCCTGAGGCCCTCAGCGCAGAGCACTTCCTGAAGCAGCCACCAGGGCAGGTGTCTCTAGGGGCACCACCCACCCCCAGGCAAGCAAGGAGGCCTACCCAGCCCCAAGACATGCCTCCCCTCGCTGGCAGGGAGGACGCCACAGGGCCTTTGGGGGTGGAGCGTGTGGTCATGGATGCAGATGGAGCTTGGAGCTCAGAGTAAATTTCACTGAAAACAGGAAACCACGAAGCTGAGATGTGCTCACTTGTAAGGGTCCGGAGAAGTAGAGCTGGAGGCCGTGCGGGAGGAAACTGGGGAGGAAGTGTGGTGGCTTTCTGCTTGGGGCCTCCTCTCTCCCGCCACATAGCAGCAGCCAGGCTTGGGGTCTGATAGCCAAATTCTTAGAAATTATATGTGCCTGGACGTCAGAAGCGGGGGGCTGGGCCAGACTGGCCTCCGCCCTGGGGCAGGAGCACTTGCAGAGCTGGGGGACAGGGAGTCTGGTCTGTAGGCTTATCCTTCAATCCTGGGGGCAGCCCTGCTCTGCCTTGAGCAGGTGTCACCCTGCCCATCCCTGCCGCGTGGGCCCCCACAAGCTGTAAGAACAGCACCCTCCTTCTGTGACAACTGGCACTGAGGGTCCCTGGCAGCCGATGGACTAGAAGAGGGACCCCACCCCCCCACCAAAGACAAAGCAGGAGCTAGGATTTTGAGGTTCTGGCCACTGGAGGTGTCCCTGCGGTCTCGAGGCCCATGCCCAGCATCGCAGGACACCCACACTGGCCCATGTCCTTGGGCGTGACCGGAGAGTTTGGGAGCAGTGCAGTGCATCCGGGGGGTTCCTGGTTCTACCCGCAGGCCTGGGGGCTCGCTGCTGCTGGAGAGCCTAGAGCTGCTCCTTTGTTCCACCCCCAACTCTTGTCTCCCCCGCCCCAGGCGATCCAGCGGGTTCTGAGTCCTGGCTCTCAGTACCCAGGCCCAGCTCGGCAGAGCCGCTCTCGGCTGCCGAGGGATGAAGGCCTTCCTCAGTGCAGTGCCCGGGCCCCCACGCGGCCCAAACTCGCCCCTTCCCCCCGGTGGGTCCCCCTCCCTGTTTCCACTCCAGAGTCTACAGAGGCCCCCCGCTCCTCTCCATGTTTTAAAACCCTTTAATCGAAATTCCACAAAGGATTCCCTTGTATGTGTGTATAAAACAAATCCAGGGCATATGCCCTGAAGCAGGAGACAGAGCAGAGGGTCCAGAGCAGAGTTGCCACAAACCCTCCCGTGTACATGCCCACCTGACAGGGCCACTCTGCAGCGAAGACTCAGCAGATTAAATGGGACGGAACACTGAAGACCGGGGTGGGTGGAGGAGGGCTCCCCGGGCCTCAGGCACCCCTACCTAGAAGCAGCGCAGGGATTAAAACCCAGCTCTTACAGTCCGTTCACCGGGTTTGCACGTGTTGCCCGTGTAGTTAATAGGACTCCCTCTTCACACTCAAGAGTGTCACAGTTGGGACAATACAGTATGGGGTCACCTTCTGTAGTGAGCACACTGAGCACTAGAGGGGGGAGGGAGGATGGGAGGTGGAGCGTCTCCACTCACCTTCCCAGCAGGCTCCACCTGCTCCCCCTCCCCACCCCCTACAGTGGGTATTGCAACCTCCTGCCTGGCCTCCGTTACCCAAGATGCCAGTTAGCCCATAGTGGCCACCATGCCACCATGTGCACTTCCTGTTTCAGGGACCCCGGTCAATGAACTCTGGGAACCAGAGGGCAGGCAAGGGGAGCCCAGATTTGCTGAACCCGTTGACAGCTGTTGGGGGAGGCTGCTGGGAGCAGGCAGCGGGGGAAGGCTCCCATGGCCCGGACGCAGGCAGGCCCAGCCCCAGAGACCCGTGGTTACAAAGAGGGAGTCTGACAGATGAGCAGAGGCGAGATCACCACGGCAGGGAGGAGTCTTTCCACGTCTTGTCCTGTATCTCGCGCCTGGCAGGATGGCACTGGGTCGGGGAGAGTTCCGCCCAGTGCCCATCGTGTCCCCTCTGTGTTGTCAGGTCCCAAAGACTCCTGTCCCAGGGGAGGAAGCTGCCACAGAGCTGAAAATTCTTGGGCTTCTAGGATGTAGGCCTTTTGGCATTTGCAGCTGGTGAATCTCGGGTCTCTGGGTGGGATCGCGGCACCCCACCATCCTTGAGACAGGGACTGAGGGATCCAACACCTTCTCCCTGCTGCCGTGTAGCACCCAGAGGAGTTGAGAGTCTGGCCATCAGAGGTATCTCAAAGAGTCTGGGCTCAGAGCAGGAGGGAGGGAACCAGGGCCAAGGCTAAGGGACCACTCAGAGGGCCGGCTTGACCTCAAATGCGCCTGCCCCAGGCCCAGCCACGATCGCCCACTGGCCCCAGCTGGCCTAGATGGCCTCAGAGGTCGGAGAGTCAGGCACGGTGTCTGCAAAAGAATGAAGCAGAATGAATGAGGGGCTCCTCTCTCCTCCATCCTCTAATCCCACACCATGAGACTGGGAGGGGAGTAAGGCTGGTGCCCTGCAGGCCATGGGGAGGTCATGACCTTGCGGGCCATACTGCCCCAAGGGTTGAGAAGCACTCACCGAGGGTTGGGAAGAAGACATCCCCAGGGCCTGGTGGAGACACAGGAGTGCAGGGCTCGGAGAGCAGGTGCCGGCCAGACTCCGAAGGCTGCCTCTGAGCCATGTAGGACAGTGGAGGCCTGGGCTTGGCCTCTGGCATCCCGTGGGAAGACGGAGAGACCTCAAAGCCAGGGTTTTCGATTCCTTGAGGGTTGTTGCTAGAAAATCAGAGCTGAATCAGTCAGTTGTACTACCTGGGTTTTGGCCCCCTGCCCTCCTGCCTGTACCCCTCCTCCACTTCCTTACCCTCACCTGCCTTCACACCCCAGGCCTCAGCACCCTCTTCCGGCAGGAAGGGAGGGTCCAGGGCCACAGAGAAAAGGCCATGGGCTGCACTCTCCCATCTTCTCTGAGCCGAGGGCATCTGATCCCAACTCTACCCTATTATTTGACCATCTGCCCCGGGCGTAGCCGGGAACCCGAGGGTCAGAGACACTTTCAGGACATTCAGGAATCTGGGGACAGGTTTCTCTTTGGTCAGTAGAGTTAATGGCATTAAGATTGAATGTCCCCACGGCTTGTCTTAAGCTGAAAGGAGGAGTTCCCTTTCCTTCTTCGTGACTGGGAATAGGACAGCCGCTAAAGACATCCAGGTGTGCTGTCCTCCTTTGCATGTTTCAGTGTCTGTCCCCAGTTCAGCTGCTCTCCCTCCTCCCCCACCCTGGCCAGTTGACAGGGAGGCCCAAAGGTGGGTGCCTGGCTCATCCAGGCAGCGTCAAGAGCTCGGCCTGCTGGGTGAGGGGTGGCAGGGAGAACAGCCAACCAGCACAGATGTGTTGGCCTCAGTAGCAGGTGCTCTTGTAAATACTGTGCTACATGGCTATACGGGGACCCTGCTGCACAGCTGTCCTTCCTGTCAGCTGACCCAGGGCCCAGGGAGGACCGGGAAGGCCATGTCTGTGTTCTGAGCCCTGTCACGGTACAACCAGTTATCAGGGAGGAGAAGGGAAAGGATCCTATGAAGGGGGAAGTCGGTCCTGGTTAAAAGTTACCCCTCTCCCTTCTACATTAATTCCAGCCACGGTTTGGGTATAGACGTTGCCCTACAGAGCCACAGGCCTGCGGAGAGGCAAGAAGAGAGAGAGCCTGCCGAGCTTTGAGTCGGGGCCCAAGCAGCTGCAGGAAGGTTTCTCAGGAAGGTCTCCATGGGCCTTACCTGTCCATCCGCACCAGCTCCTGGGCACCTAGGGACACACAGACAGACAAGGCCGTCACAAAGGAAAGGCTTCCCTAGACAACATCCCTGCCCTCCACTGACAGATGCCCTTCGAGGAACTGGTGCAAGACCAGGCCGGGCCATGGTCAGCCCTGGATCCCACTTGTGTTTGCTCTGGGGGCCCGTACTCTGGTGTTTATCCTGCAAGCGAGGCCTTAAGGAGCCGTGCGTTTTAACCAGTGATAGATGAAACTGGGGCTGCATTTCACAAGTATAAAGGACAGCATTTGTCACGAGGAGGCCAAAGGCAGCCAATGCTTTCTCCTATGGCTCGATTAGGGGTCGTGAGACCTTCCGGATTTAAGTATCAACCAAAGGCCTGACTCCTGAATTGGCTGTTTCCTGTTTGGACTTTTGCCACGCTCTGGTCCTTCACCACGATTTGCTGAGTGGGAGTGGTGTAAGGTCAGTTCCGAACTGGAGGGTTCCTGATCCTCTCTGGCCCGTCCTCCGTGTTACACGTAGGTGGCCTTAGAGGTGACATCTCTTAGAGGAAGCTTGGGGGCCCGAGACCCCATCACTTCTCAGACATCCTGCCACTTTCTGCTCTTCCTCCAAAGCTATTGCCACCCCGCCCCACTCTTGGGATTCCCCACCCCGACACTGGCCACCAACCAGATACAGTGGCCCCAACTTCCCTCTTCCTCGCAGCTCCGATACGCTTCTCATTTGTAAGAGCTTTACCATGACCACTGTGGGGAAACATGGGC